TTTGAGTCAGGGTCTTGCTCTGTTGCCTAGGCTAGAGTACAGTGGTGTCATAGCTGTCTTCAACCTCAAACTCCTGAGCTCAGGTGATCCTTCAACTTAAGCCTCCTGAGTAGCTGGGACTACAGGTGGGCTCCAACACACCCAGCTATTTTTTTTTTTTAAGAGATAAAGTCTGGCTGTTGCCCAGGCTGATCTTGAACTCCTGGCCTCAATTGATCCTCCCATCTTGGCCCCCCCCCAAAGTCCTAGGATTATAGGTGTGAGCCACCACACCAGCCGAATCTCATATTAGATGTTATCCAAATAATTCTGAAATTCCTTCCATCTTCTAACATTTTTACCCAGAGTGCTAATAGGGTTTACTCTGGGACTAGAACCACATTATTCCACTTAATCAGAAAATTTAATATCTGTCTAGACTTTTGGGGGTTCTCTTTTAATCATTCTTTCAGATTAAGTGTTGTTGCCAGTGTTTGTCACTTTTATAATAACAAGCTTGTGGTATTTGCCAGTAGGCCAGATGTGTGTGTGTGTGTGTGTGTGTGTGTGTTTAAATCAGGTGGAACTAGATAATAGCAGAACAAGATGCCATTTGTTGGCATAAAACTAATGTGGAAATGGACACTACTGAGAAAAATTGCATTCTATATTTCAGAGTATGGTTTCAATAAAAGTCCAACTAGCAGATGATTCTCCTAAGAGCAATTTGATATTGTTCAGGCCTAAAAGCAGAGTTTGTGGGATGGACTTAGCAGGGATGAAAGAATGAGCTTAGGAGAAGACAATAACCAGTGGGGTGACTGGGTGGGGGGAGGCTACAGGGGATGGTGTTTCTCAAGGTAAAGACAATTAATGACCCATGCATGGCAGAAGTTTAAATTCCAGGTCCCCAGGGCAGACCTGACGAAAATGTTGCACCCTGCAGCTGTGCACCCTGAGGACTTTAAGAGGTCATCCTATTTGTTCTCTTTCACTGGGCCTCAGAACCCCTGTGCTCCAGAACTTTTGGCCTACAGGACCAGCGAATACAGGCATTCATGTGGGCTTGAGGAGCTCCTTGTGAAGTGCCTTTCACCTCTCACCCAGACCTCAACACCCACTGTTAGCAAGCCTCAGAGGACCAGGCCTGCAGACCTTTCCCTTCCTTCCTATTGCAGCAAAAATAATGAAAGATAAGAATTATATTAGCACTTGCCACCTCAGAAATGCTCTGAGATCTTATCACAGATTCACACAGCTGTCTTTCATTTCTAAAAACTACATGGAGGAAAACAAAACAGATAACTGAAGTTCACAGATAAGCCTCTTAGCAGAGGTGCTAAGAAAGTATCAGTATTTTCTAAAATAACTGATACTATTTTCTAATGATACCACCAGAAAAAAGGGAGGGGGGCATAGACAGCCTTTGCTGAAGTGTTCTTGTTTTTTTCTTTTTTGGTGCTGATTATAAAAATCATCTATTAGTGTGGAGTGCAGTGGCTCACACTTGTAATCCTAGCACACTGGGAGAATCTCTCTAGGTGAGGAGATTGAGACCAACCAGAGCAAGAGCAAAAACCCATTTCTACAAAAAATAGAAAAATTAGCCAGATATGCAGTGGTGCATATCTGTAGTCCCAGCTACTGAGGAGGCTGTGACAGGAGGATCGGTTGAGGCTGGAAGTTTGAGGTTGCAGTGAGCTATGATAATGCCACTTCATACCAGCCTGGATGACAGAGAACCTGTCTTGAAAAAAATCATC